CTCAAAAAGTACTGCATGGATTTACTTCAAATTTTGTATGATTATTACTAATAGGTCGGGTGATATAGGCTACATATTATCACGTTATCACCTACGGGGTATGCGCAGTAAATCACTATTCTGCGCGAACGAATATGTTATGAATAAAACCCTTCTTAATTAAAATAAGGAAAACCGAAATAAAGAAAATATACCTCAATTCCATCTTCACGATTGGCAGGCGAGCTGAAGATCTTAGTTCAAAAGGTTCAAGATGACTAACCTCAAATTAATGCTATCTCTATAGAAACAGCCATTTTATTTACCGAAGTCTGACATGAACAAAATAATTAAGATCCGAACACAATATAAGCCTGGCTCCACGCCAGCGTCGTACAGCTAGGCCTGCCAAACTGTTCATGTTACTACTGACAAATTATGACTATAGATTTGCTATATTTCTATGTATGTTTGTATGTATGGGAGCTTGTCAACCTATACTTAAGTTTCACAATACATTTTCGACCGTAATATTTTGTGATAAGGTCGATTATTACATGAGACTTGTAACATGATGGACATGTCTATCCTTTTTTTTTTTTTTGAAAGGAGAAAATCATCGAATGGCTGCTCCCGCCCGGCTGAGGCGGTAGGGAATGTCAGACTCTTACTAAATAAAGACCACCCCGTTCCTACTCCTGCACTTCCTATAAGTCCTCCGCGGCTCCGTATCGGCATCAGCCCTATTGGGCCCCATCTGTGGTGGTCTGATGGCTCATTGAGACGCGCGCGGAACGCGACGCGCCGTACGGTCGGGTATGGTTCTGATCAGGCGGCGAGTCACCCTTGTTCGCCGTCCGCAGACCCGTACTTACGGTGGCCGGAGATCGTTCAGTCGTCAGCGGGTTGCGGTATCAGAAGTGGGAACGGAGTGGGTTCCAAACGACTTCAAATAAAGGTTCTCAGTTTGATCCTGTGCTTTGACCTGTTTGTATGTATGTATGTGCGCGATTATCTCGCGATTGACTGAACCGATTTTGATGGAGTTTTCAGAAAAGTGTTCTTTACACTTAGGAGAGGGTTTTAGTATACTAATAAACTGACTTAAAATAACGACGGGGTTAAAGTCGGCTTTTTAAACGTAGTTTATAAAAGAATTGTAGTCAGTAACAGTTTGACACTCCCTCTCGGCTCAATGGAAGCGGGAGAAGTCATTGGATGATTTTCCCCCGACAGTAAAAGGCCTTTAGGGCTCGTACACAAAACTGCGATGAGGCGTCGCATCGCAAAAATGTACGAGCTCCCTCCACGCATCACAAGATCTTGCCAATTGAATCGCATCGCGCATCTAAATCTTCTTCGTTTCTTTTTCCTGTATCTCCTAAGCAATAACAGAAGTGCACGCTTCTTTTTACGATCCCTGTCACGACCTAGTTTTCAATTTAAAATACGTTTAGTACGGTTGACGGTCGTCGAATGAATGGTCACCCTGGAAGACGCCTTGTCGCACGAAATCGCATCGCAGCAATTCGCATCGCATCGCAGTTTTGTGTACGAACCTTTAAATTGTGTCGATGTCATGACAAAGTGTTTTAAAAATTACACACCTTTCCACAATACTTAGTATCATGACATGAAGGTGAAGAGTTCGTAATAAGCACTTCGGATTCACGGCTACCTGCAATTTAATAGTCTATGGAAATTGCATAGAACTGTAGATAATAGACTGGCAATGTATCATTATAATATTAACAATGCATGAGTTTCTAGACTTTTCAGTTCAGTCATGTCGTCAGATCGAAGGCTTTTTGATCTTTTTCATGATTTTTTTATGGGATGAACTGGTAAACGAGCTGACGGATCACCTGATGGTAAACAATCGGCATCGCCAATGAACACTCGAAACACCAGAGGCGTTACAAGTGCGTTACCAGCGTTAGGAATTTGAGGATTGTTGGAGATTCAAGGATTGGGGAGATTTTGGAGAGTAATTGGGCCTCCGGTAACCTCACTCACACGACGAAATACAACGCAAGCGTTGTTTCACTTTGGTTTTCTTCTCGGCCGTGGTATCACTCCGGTCGCGCCGGCCTATTCGTGCCGAAGCATGGCTCTCCCACACTTGATGTTTTGTCGTTGGAATTGGATAATAGACAATGTTTTGGAAAGGATTTCGAACTCGATATTTTTCATTGTAGTTCGTAACGTATAATTGTAGTTCGTAACGTAACGTGCTACAAAATGTGGCACGCTGTGACGTCACACGATATTTTAAATTAATATATCTTCGAAAGTATTTAATTTGGTGAGAAAAGAAAAAAATACGTGTCTAATGTTTTAAATTATTGTACCAGATGGACATTACAATACCACAGATGGGGCCCTACAGGGCTGATGCCGATACGGAGCCGCGGAACTTAGCGGGTTGCCGGGGCTCCGGCTCGAAGTGCAGGAGTAGGAACGGGGTGGTTTTTAGTCAGTAAGAGTCTGACACTCCTTCCCGCCTCACCCGGGCGGGAGAAGTCATTGGATGATGATCCCCCCTCAAAAAAAAGACGGACATTACAATAAAATTTAGGAAACTACCCTATTAACCTCTTATCTGCCGGCATATGAGACACAATAGAAACACATTGTGTCTCGCCTATATCTACGCTCCCGGCATACCATGGGTTAAGGCAGTTGTTACACCAAGCACAAGCATATAGCACACACACCTCTTCAAAAAATACAACAAAAAGACAAAATTAATATGAGATATAATATTTAGCATCATACAAAGCAACCTTGACTCCCTGACTGACCTTGAGCTTGACCTCGAGGTGAAATCGATTGTCATAGCGGGTTACGTAAGGTGCGTACCGAGTACCGACTGAGTAGGTGGGAGACAATTATAGATAATTAGCTAACTGGGAAATGACACGTATGTAATATATTATATTACTAGCGACCCGCCCCGGCTTCGCACGGGTGCAATATGCATGTATTATACATATAAACCTTCCTTAAGAATCACTCTATCTATGCGTAGCGTAGCGTAGTAAAATCCGATGCGTAGTTTTAAAAATCTAAGCATACATAGAGACAGACAGACGGCGGATAGCGACTTTGTTTTATACTATGTAGTGATATACAGCCACTAGCTACTTCCGCGCGGTTTCACTCGCTCTGGTCGGCGTCTATTAATCGCAGCGTGATATTTTATAGCCTTCCTCGATAAATGGGCTATGGCTATCCAATACGAAAATGTTTTTTCAAATCGGTCAAGTAGTTCCTAAGATTAGCGCGTTCAAACAAACAAAGAAAAAACAAACTCTTCAGCTTTATAATATTAGTATAGATTAGCTAAGTGGGAAATGACACGTATGTAATATATAATATTATATCTGACATATACAGCCATTAGCTCCTTTCGCGCATTTTCATCCGCTCTGCTCGGCTCCTATTGATCTTAGCGTGATTTTTATAGCCTTTTATAACCTTTCTCGACAAGTGGACTATCCAATACGAAAATATTTTTTCATATCGGTTCAGGAGTTGCTGAGATTGCCGCCTTCAAACAAACAAACATACAAACTCTTCAGCTTTATAATGTTACTAACTGCTGCCCGCGACTTCGTACGCGCAATCCCGCTTTTTCCCGTTCCATGATTTGCTCGTGATTTTCGGTATTGGACCTCCGGTAACCTCACTCACACGACGAAACACAACGCAAGCGTTGCTTCGCGTCGGTTTTCTGTGAGGCCGTGGTATCACTTCGGTCGAGCCGGCCCATTCGTGCCGAAGCATGGCTCTCCCACACTTAAACACTATTTCTCGGATTGAAAAATATTTAACAACAACAGACGACAACTATTCAAAAATCGAACATAAAAATTCCATGGTCCTCATATCTAAATATAGAAAGAGAAAGTGATAGCGTACCACGTATCGTTGTCCTTTTTCAGCATAATGGTACATTTAATGGGATACATAACCTTTTATGTGTGTATTTTATGAGATTATGTAATTGTTACTGTATAATAGTGATCGATACGTTTCGTTGTGTGTGGTCTATGTACTACTAGCTATTATCCCCGGATTTGTTCTCAAAAATTGTAGCCTTGTATGTCCTTCTCTGTCTGTACTCCCAACAATATTATAGGATTTATAGGTATGAAAAATGTCAATATGATTGGTTGAGTGGATATAACGTAACAAACGAATAAATAAAGAGACACTTTTTTATTTTTTTATGATAATTTTAAGTGTGGGAGATCCATCCTTCGGCACGAATGGGCCGGCTCGACCGGAGTTATACCACGGCCGAGCAAAAAACCGAAGTGAAACAACACTTGCGTTGTTTCGTCGTATGTGGTTGATCTCCAAGATTCCTCAAATTCCTAATCCCCAAAAGGCCGGTAACGCACTTGTAACGCCTCTGGTGTCTGGTGGTGATCCGTCTATTCATTTTACGATACGAACAGACGGATCACCTGCTCTCTGAGGCTTTCAGTTTGTGTTACGTTTAAAGTAATCGTAAGGAGTACGCGTTCGGCGCTGTGATTGGTTGCTTCATTAGTCCCGACCAATCAGAGCGCCGAACGTATACTCGTATCGAATACTTTTATAACGTAAATTAAACTCGTACGAAGGCCTCTGCTGACGGATATATCTGCGATACGTCGCGGAGAGGTCACTAACAAATAATACATAAACAAAATTATTTTCTCATTTCGTAATAATATAAAGTACTAGCTACTTCCGCGCGGTTTCACACGCTCTGCTCAGCTCCTATTGGTCGTAGCGTGATGTTTTATAGCCTATAGCCATCCTCGATAAATGCGCTATCCAACACAAAAAGAATTATTCAAATCAGACTTGTAGTTACGGAGATTAGCGCGTTCAAACAAACAAACAAACAAATAAACAAACTCTTACGCTTTATATAATAGTATAAGATTGGTTTCTTTCGCATTAGGTAAGTAATTATTACTTGTAAGTCATGGCATTATTTTAATATGTGGTTCTGCTTGTTCCAGCAAGGTATTGGGGTGGAGCTGGTGCGCGCCCTGGACAGCCATCCGCCCAACATCTCCAATGTCTTCTGCGAGTGTGACTCCAAGGATGACGTCGTAAGTTACCTATACTTTTTAAGTGTGGGAGAGCCATGCTTCGGCACGAATGGGCCGGCTCGACCGAAGTGATACCACGGCCTCACAGAAAACCGACGTGAACGCAACGCTTGCGTTGTGTTTCGTCGTGTGAGTGAGGTTACCGGAGGCCCAATTACCCTCCCCTTCCCCAATCCCCTAATCCCTCAATCACTCCTAATCCCCAAATGACCGGTAACGCACTTGTAACGCCTCTGGTGTTCCAGGTGTCCATGGGCGACGCCGATAGCATACCATCAGGTGATCCGTCTGCTCGTTTACTGGCTTATGCCATAAAAAAAAAATACTTCTTAACACATTGGATGACGTGTCGGACAATGATGTCCGACCCTAGCGCATGATTAGCTTTTACCTTTTTTGTATCAGCAGCATAAAGCCTTAATTACATAAACTTTTAGAATACGCCCAACTTTTCGTTAGTTAATTTTATTTCATATCTTAAAGTCCTTCGACTAGAGAAAATTAGTTTTGTGTACCTCCAATAATTGTCATTTGTTTGTCATCAATGTCAAGTTGTCAATTTAACTGTAAACCTAAACATAACATCACGCCTTTTATCCCCGAAAGGGTAGAAGACATGTACATTTTGCCCTGTACAATATAACACCCACTTGTCACTATTTATGTTATGAGTCCCATGTTATAGGGGGTGAGCCTATATTCTTACAACACTAAAACCACTGAAAGTGACCTTTCAGCTCTTATAAAGAAGTCAAAGTCAAATTTATTTATTTCAATTAGGCCAGAATGGCACTTTTGAACGTCAACAAAACAACAAGAACTCTGGTTAACTATAAAAAATATAAAATATAGTTATATTTGTATAAATACAAGTAGATACGTAATGAATGGTGTACGTGTCATGTTTGTGAACGGGCGCTGTCAACTGGGACTGGTCAGCTCCAGACTGTATTATTTATTATACTTAAGCTTATTTTCTTTTTCTTTCTCCTTGACTGAATATTGGTGTTACATTGTTCTCATATAATTGAATCAAAGAAACAATGTAACCAAAAATTGTATTGTGAACCTGATTGAAAAAGAGTAACCTATTAAGTTTCTTGCTCGTTCTTCTCCATAGGAATCTACACTTTGGAACGAGCAAATAGCTTCACTGGAGGACTGACCTACAGACTGACATTTTTAATATTTCAGTATTTTGTTTTGGCTTTCATAAATGCCTTCCTGGTGTAATTGAAATAAATGATTTTGACTTTGAATTCATAGGGTTGGTCCAACTTGTGGAAGAATCCACCCTCACTGTATCGACATTTATTTAATAATTCTCCAGATATTGATATAAACTTAGCAAAGGAACTTACCTACGCTTAGAAGGTTTTTCATTCCATTCATTAAAAGAACTCTAATTTATTGACTAAATAAATAAAAAATAATATCAATAAACATTGAAAAAGTAAAATTACAAATCGCTTAGCAATCTCAAGCACTTCTGTAGTAAGTTCGTAGCTTTCAAAAACCACGAAAAATCCCAAAAATGTTATCAAAATCGTAATTTTACTAAAAAAACAAAAGAAATTCTTAGGGGACACCCGGATTTGAACCGGGGACCTATCGATCTGCAGTCGATTGCTCTGCCACTGAGCTATATCCCCGATGACTACTAATGCCAAATACGGGTACATACTCGGGACGTAGGAAGAATAAGAACCAAAATGTCTAGACCTATTGCTTTGTTCTAAACTATTCACAAAGTCTTCTAGATAAGAGGTCGTGTTAAAATAGTTGTTTGTGTCATATCGCTAAGGGGTGAACGAACCTTTTTATCGAGAGTTGACATAGACATAAATTACTTTTGTTATTTTCTTAACGAATAATGTTGTCATAGGAAAAAATAAGGATTTTATTTTTCTTGTTGTTTGCTAGACTCTTTGGAGGTTTACTTAGGCACTTTTTCTTTGGTGTTGTTTGTCTTTTTCGTATGATTAAATCAATGTTTTAGCGCGATAGAGAATTTCTTTATCAAATACAGGATAGTAATCGCGATTGCTTTAACGTAAACCCTTTTGTAGTATAAAATGGATAGGTTTGTAGCATTGTAGTAAAAAGAAGTGAAATTCTTTGCCAGAGTCTGTATTTCCTGAAGTATATAACCTCGGTGTCTTCAAGGCCTGAGTGAATAGGTTGCTTATGGGACGACGTGCTCCATCGTTGACCGCATCATCGCTTACCACCAGGCGAGATAGTGATCAAACGTCGGCCTATCAAATATAAAAAAATAGCTATATATTACAAAGATAAACACTATAATTATTTTTATTACATTTTCAGACGATCACATGTGATTGTGAAGCCACCCCCGCCTTTCAGCTGAAAGCTTTCAGCCAGCGAGGCGAGAAAGTAGAAGTATCACATTACAGAGTTAATGTTAACCGGTAAGTTTCAATTATAACCAAAGAACTACACTATACCAATATAAATACAAAAAAAAAACACCAATAACTATAATAATCTCTCATTTTTCAATAAAAAATAATTGCTTTATTTATTAAATTCTTTTTTTATTAAACTCTTTATTGGATCCAGCTACAACCTTTTTAATTATGTTGACAGATGACATTGAAACGTCACTGTCAAATTGATTTGCGCGGCAATAATAAAAAAAAATGTTGATGAAAATCCACAAATTGTGACTTAAAATCTGTAATAGTTCGTTTTTAATCTAATAATTATTTGACTATATAAAGATATTTGTCTTTTTTAGTTCTATTTTTTTGTGTATTCTAGGTTCCGCGCTCGTTTGAACGTGGTTTGTGTGACGGACAAGTTGACGGGCGAGTTGAAATGTGACGGCTGGCCCGAAGTGAAGGTGGCACTGGCGCCAGTGGGCGCGCTCAGGCCTAATGCCACGGAGAATGATCTACAACAGAGTATCAGGTAATGTAATGATAGTTTGGACCTCTAGAATTTAGTATTAAACTTTGTTAAAAATTTATTTATACACAGACATCTCTTAGGGGCGGATTTGTAACTTTTATGTGGCTAGTAATGGCTTTTCGAATGAAAGCCATTATGCAGTACTATTAACTAAAATCGCGGGTTACTCACGTGAATATTCTGAGAAAAGCTCTACTAGTTTCGAGAGGGCAGGGCATGGGCTGATTTAGTTGATTATTTTTATCCCGATTAAATGCTCCCATTAAGTAAGACAGGAATCATATTCTATGCGCACGAAATCGAGGGCAACAGCCAGTCTAAAATAAGTATTTTGAAAAAGATTCTGATTTGAAATCGGTTAATTATTCATTCAAAAAGTGACTGACCAAATCTTTGATCTACCCCCATTTACTTGTCGCCGAGAACCTAACGGGTTACCGGGGCTGCGGCTCGACGTGCAGAAGAAAGAACGGGGTGGTTTTTAGTCAGTAAGAGTCTGACACTCCCTCCTGCATCACCCAGGCGGGTACAAACATTCGATGATTTTTCCCTCTTAAAAAAAACCCTATTCACTTTTTTTCTCACTACCTACTTTTCCCTCAAATTTCAGTGATATAGTTGTATCAGCGCTGCGCAGTACGAACTTACAATTCAACCTGGCGCACTATCCGACGTGCCCGCGACTGCGGCGGTACGTGGAGACGCCAGGACCCAGGCTGCCATTACATTATGATTCTATGGTAAGTCCGTCGATAAATTAGCTTTTGTTAGCTATCATTATGGTGTTCCTCGTGTAGGTTACGGCTTACAATACCTTCGTGTAAAGAGCTGATGATGGAGATCTGGGCGCTTACTCTTGAAACCAATATCAATAATTATTCAATGTCAAAACTATACACACAATCGTAGCTGCTAAAATAGCTTTCAGATATCCACGCAATACAGATGCAAGTGTTGCAGCTCAAGAGTACGAAATTTCACAATGTCGATCGATCAGATTTGGATTCAACAGTAAGCCCCCAGAGTCGGGCAATTAAAGACACCTGCAGGTCTTATCTGAATTTGTTGAGGAAAATTGATTATCCATTATCATCATAGTCAAAGTCGACTAGAAGATGTTTATTGGAAAAGGATCTCCTCTTCAAAGACAACGTAAGATTGTCATAATCAGGACGCTTGCCTGTGGCTTCAGGATCACAGTTATGTCAAAAATTCGCAATCACAGAGACCTCTTGGCGACTGGGCTTCACCCAATTGTACAGTCTCTTCTTTGTGCCTTTAGGCTTAATTCACTCTGTCTCCTGCAGTAATTCACCGAGGGAAGTGGAAACTACAGTTTTTTCTTCTTCACCTCTTATAATATCTTCTGATTCACTTCGCTGCGGGAACCAAGACAGTTACTCATGTCCCTGGGACGCGCCGGACTTCAATGTTCCGGTGTTTTCATGGTTGTATCTACTGTAGATCCTGGCTTACAGGAGTTGCAGCGGTTTTGGGAGGATGTGGCGGGCTTGTCCCAAAAATAAAATCACAGTGACCTGATACCCATGCTGCTTGCCAAGTATGGAGACCACGATCTCGCCGTTAATAGGAATGATCATAGATTTAACTACCAAAAACCTGTTAATAAACACAGCAATATCTTTTTTTATATCGTTGCCCTACACTACGATTTTCCCCTGTGTCATGTGTGCGTTTACAAACATACAAGTTCACATACACATGACACCTAGACCCGGAACAACAATCTGTGTATCACGTAAAGAGTTGTTCCGCACGGGAATGGGATCCGCGACACGTTGCACGGCAGCCAGTTACCCAGCCACTAAGCCAAGCTTGAAATTTGAAACCGAACCTTGCCTCCAGTAACCTCGTTCCTTGATGAGGCCCCTTAAGCCTTTGACTGTCGACAGAAAATTGTTGAAGGTAAATCCTCCGCTATCGTGGCCCATAGAAGGAACGGGGTGGTTTTTAGTCAGTAAGAGTCTGACACTCCCTCCCGCCTCACCCAGGCGGGGGTAGTCATTCGATGATTTTCCCCCCTTAAAAAAAAAAAAAAAAAAAAAATACCTTGTCCCCCATGGCGTTCAAAGTGTTAACACCTTGTTAACAGAGCATTACCTATGTATTTCTGTCTTTTTGCATCCTTACTATAATATTATAAATCGGAAAGTGAGTTTGTTTGTTTGTTCCACCTTCACGCCGTAACTACTAAACCGATTGCTTTGAATGTTTGCAGACGTAAAGTTAAAAGTCCGGATTAAATAATAGGGTACTTTTAAACCCGGAAAAATCTTATATCCCCGAATAAAAACTAAAGTATTGGTATAGATGGCGCTGTGTGTATTGGTATATGTCACAGGCTACTTTTTATCCTTTTGTGACGCGTATTCCGAAAATTTATAAATTAACGGACGCGTCATACATACAGCGCCATCTATACCAATACTTTTTGTTTTCCCTCGGCAATATCAAATTTTTCCGGGATAAAAAGTACCCTATTATTTAATCCGGACTTCTAACTTTACGTCTGCTAAAATTCAAAGCAATCGGTTTAGTAGTTACGGCGTGAAAGCGGAACAAACAAACAAACAAACAAACTCACTTTCCGATTTATAATATTAGTAAGGATGAAAGTAAAATATCGTCTTCCAGCTGCAACAGGACCGTCAGATGTACACGTCGACTCCAAACTCTACAGCCGGCAGCGTCACCCTGCTGGGAGAGAAGAGACTGCTCGTCAAACTTGTCTGTGCTAAGGACTTGGGAGGTAAGTAGAACATTATAAGGAAGATGTTACATATATACAAGGTGTAGTTTTGAAACCGTGTCATTTCTTGGGGGTACGTCACACAAGTCATAAAGGTTTAATGTAAGAGAAAATTTCGAGCCAATAGTTAAAAATACACCTATAATAAATCGTTTAAGTTCGACAGTATTTCAGAATAAGGGACAGCAATGTTTCTTATTGGAGTTTTATGGCATTAGCAATAATATCAATTACGTGTTTGAGTTTGTGTGTGTTAAGCCGCGTTTTAAAGCTAGTTACAAGACGGCGGCGTGTAGTTCACACTTACGGATTTCCGTAATTTCAGAAAAATTAAAAATATTTGCCTACAATTTTTTTTATTGATTCGGACTCAGAATCGATAGTCGAGTTACCTCCTAGAAAATGCCGCGGCTTTAAAACAACACCTTGTATAATACTTTATCGGGAAAGCTATTTTGCATATTCAATCTATTAAGCGGAATAGTCGTACTCTAGTAAAACATAGCGTACTCTTAAAATGGCCAATACGGTAGTTTCCTATATTTTATTTTAATGTCCGTCTGGTAAATTAATTTAAAACATTAGACACGTATTTTTTCGTTTCTCACAAAATTAAATACTATCGACGATATATTAATTTGAAATTTCGTGTGACGTCACAGCGTGCCACATTTTGTAGCACGTTATGACGTAACGACCTCCCACTCTTAAACTTAGCGCCATTTTATCTAAGTATTGCAACTTAAGGTGAATGCCTAGATATACCTCGCCATACATTTTTCAGGTGTAGAAATCTCCGTAAATAAATAGTTTCTGCAGAATGAAAGCAACATAATGAGACTTTATAATGTACGAGAAAATAAAAAAATACATGTCTAATATTTTTTCATTATGTAACTGACGGACTAATTAGATTTTTAATTTTGATACCCTGGAAACTACCCAATTCTTTTTCCACATAATTCAGTTTGACTCATGTCAAACTAGTCTAGTCAATTTTGTCTAGTTTTGTAAAGTGCCTTTTTGCATTTCATACTTTACTGCTTCGACTTAAGGTTATTTGTTGGTATTCCAGGTAAAGCGGGTTGCGTAGCTCCGTACTGCGTGGTGGAGATGGACGAGCCTCCACAGAAGAACCAGACTGCCTTCAAGAAGGATACCAACAACCCACAGTGGGAGGAACACTTCCTATTGTGAGTATACATGAGTCGCGGAGGACTTAACGGGTTATCGGGGCTCCGGCTCGAAGTGCAGGAGTAGGAACGGGGTGGTTTTTAGTCAGTAAGAGTCTGACACTCCCTCCCGCCTCACCCAGGCGGGAGCAGTCATTCGATGATTTTCCCCCCTTAAAAAAAATTGAGAGTATAACTACATACTTACTCACTTTCGGACTTGATTATGTCACAAGTGTCGTGGTGCCCCGGAAGTGTCGAAACTCACCAATGGCTAGAACCAATATGTTATTTTTCCGAGTTATATGTACTTTCTAAGATTATCTAGCTACCACTGACAAACGGTGAAGGAAAACATCGTGAGAAAACCTGGAATTATAATTTCTAATTATAAGTAATTGTAATCACCAATCCGTATTGAGCAAACGTGGCGAACCCATATATCCCCAAGCGGACACCGGTGACCGCCGCCACTAACTACATTATAGACCTTATTTCCAATGTTTAGAGACTACTTTTGTATGAACCAATTTAGGGGATGATTTTCAATGGGTACGCAAACCTTCTCCGTGTGAGAAGAGGCCTTTGGTCAGCAGTGGCCGCTAATAGGCTGTTGATGATGATGATGATGTCACAAAACTATGACCAGTCATTGAAAAACAGCAGTAGCGCCCTCTAAATGTTTTGTAAATGGTGAAATTGCGATCCCCGAGCTTCTCAAAAGGCGGTTCAGGAGCTGCACTAAACTTAAGCAGCATTCGTTTCTACAGCACAATGCTCTCAATGTATTTATAGGTACCCTTGCCTCAAACTGTCACGTCTCAACCTGACCCATGTCCTGTAAATCCTAAAGTCTAAACTTTGTTCCTATCGTATCATAATTTCATTTTATCTAAGTCTTAAGTGTGGGAGAGCCATGCTTCGGCACTGCTGGGCCGGCTCCACCGGAGTGATATCAACAAGCTGACAACCATAATAAAACAACGCTTGCGTTGTGTTTCGTCCTGTGAGTGAGGTTACCGGAGGCCCAAGTACCCTCCCCAATCTCCCCAATCCCTAAATCCCCAACCATCCTCAAATTCCTAGTCCCTAAAAGGCCGGTAACGCATTTGTCACGCATCTGCAGCTGTAGCCAAATGCCACTTAGCGCTTGTCTACATGTAGAATAGAAAACCTAATTATATGGAATTGACGTAAATTGTGTCATTTGTCAGTGTCATCCCCATACATTTGGTTTTCTACTCTCTGTAGACAAGCGCTAAAGTGGCGTTTGGCTAAAGGCACTGGTATTCCAGATGTCCATCGGCGCCGATTGCTTACCATCAGGTGATCCGTCAGCTCGTTTACCGGCGTATCCCATAAAGTAAAATGTTCCACGCAATCAATGTCTGTCGTTATGTTTCCAGCGACCTGTCTCCTCAGACGGCGGAGTTACTGTTCGAGGTGTACGACCGGACCGGCCCGCCCTCGCCCGGCGGGGGACCTTCGCAACACAGGTACTATAACTTATGTACTATACCTATGATAAAAGAAAAAACCATCGTGTAAGCAGGTTCAAAACTAAAAGGAACATTAACTATTAAATTAAGTAAGCTCGACGTCGCCACGACCGCGCACGTTGCTAATGAGGAAGAACCCCTCTTTGGTTCGAAACTAGTAGAGCTTTTCACAGTATATTCACGTGAGTAACCCGCGATTTTTAGTTAATTTAGTATGTCTTACGATAGTTATTATAAAAACAGGAACATTATTGAAATAAATAATTAAAACTAAAATATTTACACCTTAAAAAAATAATAATAATGAAAAAATAATAATAATGAACATAAATCATAAACAATAGGAACATTATTCACAAAAAACATAGGAAATAGTATTACGACAGATTTTTGATATCCTAATACAGTTTTTACAATAAACAAGACAAGAATTTTGTAAATCAGTTCACAAATGGCGGAGTAATCGGCGAACAAATAAAAAAACAATCAGCCGAACATAGTACTTCCTCCATTTTTTGAAGTCGGTAAAAACAAAGAGTTTGTCTTTCCAACACTATCATGAGAGCTTTCGATTTTATGCTCACTAGTTGGCGCTAGTGTCATTTAAAGTTTTGTTTAATATGACTTACTTAGGTATCATAAAATGTCAGCTTTGCTATGAGGAATATTAACTTTTGAATCTTTTTATTTAATTTCTCGTTTGAATTATTGTGTTATCTCTTAGCCGACTTTTAGTCGTAGAAGTCGGCTCGCCATCGATCCATGGGAAGAGTAGAGATAGTGATATGCCTATTTTATTCTCTCTATTTCTCTCTCTCTCGCTCTTTTTTCTTTCTCTCTTACAGCTGACTATTAACAAAGTACTTGTATTCTGTGTCAGGTTCCTAGGCCTAGGTCTGGTGGGTATAGACGAGTTGCTGGCGGCTCCGTCCCAGCGCCAGCAGATAGCGCTGCAGACGCGGCCCATGGAAGAACATGACGTCAGCGGGACGCTCACTGTAGAGGTACGTATACTCTTTATTTTTATAAAAAAACTAGCTTCTGCCCGCGACTTCGTACGTGAAATCCCGTTTCTCCCATTCCCATAGGATTTTCAGGGCTTTTTTCCATCATAAGAACCTTCTCCTGACGATAACAAACACAACAAAAACAAAATCAGCCAAATCGGTCTAGCCCTTCTCAAATTATGGCGTGACAACGGGAAATGGGTTTCATATTTATATATAAGTAGATAGCTTCTGCCAGCGGCTTAGCCCACGTTCCCAGGGGTAAAAATTAGCCTATGTATTACTTTAGAAGATGATAATCTACCTCTGGTCCAAAGTAAAGCAATATTTTTTTAAATGTTTCCCCCCTTTATGATTATTCTCCTGTGTCGTGTGTCTGTTTACAAACATACAAGTTCACATACAAATGACACCCAGACACGAAACAACAATCTGTGGATAATACAAAGAGTTGCTCCGTGCGGGAATCGACTCCGCGACACGTTACGCGGCAGCCAGTTGCCTAGCCACCGCGCCAACCAGTGCAGTCAAATCAACAAAAATGTACGACTAACTCCAGTTCGATAGCCTAGCGGTCTTCTGGAATTAGCCAGCTATTAGGTCTGAAAGACGATAGCGACGCAGTCCCTTTCATCCCTAACTTAGGGTTACAACTATCTTGATTAGTTTATAGTAAACTAGCTTCTGCCCGCGACTTCGTACGCGTAATCCCATTTTTTCCCGTCCCCGTTCGTGATTTTCGGTAAAAAGTAAAAAAAAGTATTGGTTAAAAAGTATCCTATGTCGGTCTCCTGGCTCTAAGCTACCTCCCTACCAATTTTCAGCCAAATCTATTATGCCGTTCTTGAGTTATAAGGGGTGTAACTAACACGACTTTCTTTTATACATATATATAGATTTATGTAACAGTGAAGTTGCCAATAAATAAATAATCATCAAGAACACTGGGGCTTTAATTTCACAACCATCAACCCTACAGTACAACTTAAAACTGAATAGCCTTTCTATATACAAGCCTATACAAGGCTATATACAAGCCCGAGCTTGTAACATGTATTAGAACTAATAAAACCTCCTCTTCCAGTTCCTATTCATCGAAGGCGCCGACATCCCGGACCTGGGCTCCCGTCCAGTGAAGATCAAGGAGAGTCTCCGCACTGTGTCCCAGTACGGACATCTCACTACTACCACCAAGACTATATTCAAGCAGAATGGTGAGTTGTTCAATCTTATCCAATAAATTAATATTATCTATCAAAACTACTTATACAAAAAATATGCCAAAATTGGGTAGTTTCCAGGATACCAAAATTAAAAATCGAAATAGTCCGTCAGTTAGATAATAAAAAAATATTAGACATGTATTTTTTATTTTCTCGTATGAATTTGCAATATTTAGATAAAATGACCCTCAGTTTAGGAATGGGAGGTCGTTACGTCATAATACGCACGCTGTGACGTCACACGACATTTGAACCGACTTTGATGCGGTTTTCAGAAAAGTGTTACACTTAGCTGAAATCTGTTAATTAATTAACAAACTTCAAAAAAACGTGAATAAAAGTCAGTCTTTTTAAACGTAGTTTATGAAAGAATTATTTATTATTATTACCTTTCCAGGCCACGACAACTCTCAACTAACAGAATCGGCTCTCCGCGAACTAGAGCTGAGTCCGACCAACGCGGCCAACAAGTCCACGCTCATCATACACTCCGTGCAAAGGGTGAGTCTATTATTTTATTTTCATTTTTGCCCACCTCTAGTGACATCTGTCCAAGAAGGTTGTATACGTAGACAAGTAGCGACATCTATGATAGTTGTGACAGTTTTAAGGAGTTTAAATGTGTCATTTGTAATTTTAATAGGTGTTTTTTATGAGGAAAATCTTTGACACTTGTATGGTTGCTGATAATGATTCTAGTAAACGTTAATTTTGATTCCTAGGTTATATAAAATAAATATTGAATTAATGTTAAGTTTTCGAATGTCAAACTATATTCGTAGATGTCGCTAATTGTCCATACATATTACATACACATAGTTTTGTTAAGGTATTTGCTGTGTGTTTTTAGTTGTTGTTATATTCAACAAATGATAAATAATAATGAAATATTACCCATTTTTATTATATATTTGTACAAAGTTGATTAACGGAACTCGTACATTTAAAAAATCAGGGTTTAGTGTTGCCGGTGCTTAGTAATTTCTACCAAAATGGTAGAATTTTGTTTTTATTAAATAAGGGTTCCTTTAATCAATTATATTATGATTTGTATATATAGTGTGCCCCTGTGACCCACACACAAACAAAAGTACGTGCAAAAATATTAGTAACTTAGTGACATTCGATTACCAACTTTATTATCTAACCAAGATAATGCAAATTATATTGAAATACATTTCTTAAAATAAATCAAATTGAGTAGTTTTTTTATACAGTCTATATATGAATTTTACTAAGTGCATGTCCAAAATTTTTGCACGTGGCAACATTGAAGTTAACACTATGTTGTTTTTCCTTTACATTGCGTGCGTTTGCTGTGTTAATATTGTCAGGAACCGAAGAAATCAATAAAGGTGAGTTGTTTTCACGTCTTTTTTATATTCTAGCATTAAAATATTCGATAAAAAATAAACCTACTAAACTAAATGTTAGGTAAAATATGTTATAGATAAAGATTAAATAAAAATACTTCTTTTAAAAATATGCATAGATAAAAAGGTTTTATATAAAATCTTTAGTAATAACATTAATAAGCAACCATTTTAGCTTTCATAGGTTTCAAGTCTTTTGGTACTTGATATTTCTTAGATGATTTTTGTTCTGGTTTTCTTTGTTGTAAACATTTCTAAGATTTTCTTATCTAGGAGTTGCAATAATGAATGTGTAAAAACATCTATCAATGTTAGTGCTTCTAGATTGAAACTAAGATTTCTAACTCTGCGTTAGAATTTAACGCTTAGAGTAACTTTAGCGTTTCCGAAATCATTTAAAACATTGTTGTATATAATTTTAATTTGTCCTTAGCATGTGTTTTCTCATTTTGGGAGTTATTTTGTGACCAGCATTCTGATTGACTGAATAAATGAATAAGGAATTGTGCAAAAAATAATTATTTACGCTATGTAAAACCTTAAAAAACATATCTGGGACTTACGAAGTCTGAAATAATTGGTTCATGGTTCAATAATGGAGCTAACGAGACAGTATGTTAAAATTAGTCTTTTCTGATATCTGTCTGTGTCACAAAATATTTCCCAAAATCCCGTGTGCTGTGTTGCCATACTAACCCCGCAAAAATCTACCAAAAAAGGTGGAAATGACGGACTCGGGGAAATTCATCGAAGTGGAGAGGGGTGAAATGGATGCCGAAGTACGTCAAGAGAGTGATGATAAATTTGATGAGAATGGGAAAGAGACAGACATATCTGTCTCAGCCAGCCCGAATGCCTCGCCCGGGAAGACGGTGAGGATCAAGGAGAATGGTGCTAAAGCCAATGGCGATACCGAGGTAACGTGTGACGATTGTTACTCCCTTTTTTAATTAATCACTAAAATATTAACTCCACCGTTTTTAAAGCACAGTTTTTTTAGTAGTTTTGCTGTGATTTATATTATGTGTGTTTTGGTAGATATGTTTATAGACAACTTTGTTAATCTACAGTTAAAATTTGCAGAATATTTATATTTTTATGTTCGGACAATGATTATTTATTAATTGATAGGTTTATAATTATATATTTTTCCTAATTCAAAGCACTATATTTAAAAGTACAAATTTACTAATGGATTAGGTTTTAATATACTTTCAGTAGGTGGTATTGCTTATCACTTCTTAAAAGTGTATTTATTTATTTTTTCCAAAATATTCAAATAATTTTATCAAAGACGAGCCTTTATTCAATTATCACACTATCAAAATCAATTGATGTTTAAAAACAAACAAGAATAATTAAAAGTTCGCATCAAGCTTCCTTGTGCGTACTGCTAAGGAGTGAGTGGGATTCAGAGTGTACTATGTCCTGAAGGGTATAAAATTGGGTGATTTCAAGGTCCGAGTGGATAGGTTGCTTATGGAACGACGTGATCTAATGTAGACCGCATCATCGCTTACCACCAGGCGAAGTAGTGGCCAAATATAGGCCCATCATATAAAAAAAAGTTCTAATGTTATTTGCGTACATTATGTTCTTTTAAGTATCAAATAGCATTTTCTTAATAGGCACATATTTATTAACATTTTACAAGCGAGTAAAGCTGTTCCTTCAACATGAAAACAAAAATCAAATCATAATTTGACGTTTCAATATTTTTGTGCTATTGACGTCACCAAAATGGCGGTCCGTGTTTTGGCGCGTATATTTTATATGACAAATTTTTGATTTTTTTTTTCGGTAAAAAGTGGTCGAATATTGCTGATATAAAAAATATACTTGTTAATCAGATACGAACATTAAAAAAACAAAATGTGGAAGAATAGCCTATTAGATATAGTTATATATACCTCTATCTATATATATAAAATTCAAAGGTGATTGACTGACTGACTGACTGACATAGTGATCTATCAACGCACAGCCCAAACCGCTGGACAGATTGGGCTAAAATTTGGCATACAGGTAGATGTTATGACGTAGGCATCCGCTAAGAAAGGATTTTGATAATTTCCACCCCCAAGGGGGTAAAAAAGGGGATGAAAGTTTGTATGAAACTTTGTCAGTTTTTAACTGATCGGGTTGAAATTTGGCATGCAGATAGATGTTATGACGTAAGTATCCGATGTGAAAGGATTTTGATAATTTCCACCCCCAATGGGGGTAAAATAGGGGATGAAAGTTTGTATGAGACTTTGTCAGTTTTAAACCGATCGGGTTGAAATTTGGCATGCAGATAGATGTTATGACGTAGGCATCCGTTGTGAAAGGATTTTGATAATTTCCACCCCCAAGTGGGTAAAATAGGGGATGAAAGTTTGTATGAGCCTTTGTCAGTTTTAAACCGATCAGGTTGGAATCTTTTTGAATTACATTCGGTAAAACGATAATTTAGGACCTGGGTAATGTTTGATAGTTTTTTCACAGATGTCTCACGAGAACGGGAACTATGCGTCAATGCCCCAGGACTCTCTAACTCTTAACCACTGAACTTATTCTAGAGAGATTCGGTACAACAATAGTCGATAGAATAGTTTTTATTACTCAAACCTTACGTGATCGGGCACTGTACTGGTAAGATCCCTGCGGGATTATTTATTTGTTGAAACTACGATAAATCATTTCAAAATAGGTAAATCTTACTTGGGCACTAAATTGATTCTGGTTAATTCTTGCAGAAGTCATTAATCTACGCGGACGAAGTCGCGGGCAACAGCTAGTATACCTATAAGATCCAAACTTCAACAACTTGGTAACAAAAGTCCAATCTCTTTTTCTCTATTTTTTTTAAAAAAAAAACGTTGCCCCACACTAGTATTTTCTCCTGTGTCGTCGGTGCGTCCAATATTAAAGAAGTATTCTTTTGAAATATCAAAATCAAATATACGTTCTTTCCAGCAGGGTGACTACGTGCAGCAACAGAATGAGAACGTCCCGCCGGAGCCCGCGCCTCGCAAGAGGAGACGGGACTTCTTCGGTACTATCAAGAGAAGGTTAGAAATCCTTTATTTATCACATGTTTTTTAATGAAAACAAAAATATATTTCTTCACTTAATATAGCAACAAATTCATCCGTTACAATATTTTTTTAAAGTTTTAATTAATGTAGTTAGCTGTTCAATTTCAATTCAAGAAGTTTGCTCATTGTTTTCCATAAGAATCTCAAGAGTCGCGAGCAAACAGCTTCCTTAGCGCACTGATCGACAAACACACTTTCATTGCTGACGAGTAAAGTTTATTGATTTAGTTGAAATAAATACAATTTGATAGGATTTTAAAATAAATACCTACTATCAATATTAATATCAGCAGCTGTAGCCAAATGCCATTTAGTGCTTAAATGGAATTGACGTAAATTTTGACACTAGTCAGTGTCATCCCCATACATTTTGATTTCTACTCTTTCTGTAGACAAGCGCTAAAATGGTGTTTGGCTAAAGGCCCAGGATGTAAATTGTTTGTTAATCACATGTTAATTATATCGTCTTATTTGTAACAGACTGGGTCGGTCCCGCACTCGCGGTGCGTCTCTAGATCTCACCGACTCCGAGGTAGAGAACCAGAGTCGCATACGCAGCATCAGCGCAGAGAGGAATGCACATGGTGAGTTTCATCACATCGTTTGCAAATGTTAACCAAGATAAATAAATATAATATAAACAAATAATTGGATTTTACCCGCAAGGTGGACGACCCAAAGGAGCTGCCAGCCTATCTGTTATTGGGGGAGGTCTTTTTTTATGGGATAAACCGGTCGTTTACCGGCAGACGCATCACACGATGGTAAGCAATCAGAGTCGCCCATGGACACCTGGAACACCAGACGCGTTACAAGTGCGTTACCGGCCTTTTGCAGATTAGGAATTTGCGAATCGTTGGTGGTTCAGGAATTGGGGAGATTGAGGATGGGGGTAATTGGGCTTCCGGGAACCTCACTCACAGGACGAAACACAACGCTGTGGTAGTTTCACTATGGTTTTCTGCTCATTGGTGGTAATACTCCGGTCGAGCCGGCACAGCAGTGCCGAAACATGGCTCTCCCACACTTAAATTATGTCTATGTGGATATCCTATGTTATGGCTGATATGATGTGTCTATATATGTTATTAAGATTACATTCTAGCACATCGGGCCGTAACAGTTTTGCTCATGGCTCCCTTACGCCTTTTTATACCCGAAGGGGTAGGCAGAGGTGAACAGTACGGCGTTTAATACCACTGTACAATGTAACACCCACTTTTCACTATTTATGTTATGAGTCCCATGTACCTAATAGGGGGTGAGCCTATTGTGAGTTTTTGAATTTATCACAATTATATTTATTATGACTACCTGTAACAATTGCCATTTATAAATGTTTGTATGATGTAGATTTATTATTTATATTGTTTTATCAAATATTTAAAATATTATTGATATAATTTCCACAGAGAAAGCGCTATCCATCCCGAATAGGAACGTATACTCAGCGGGCGCGTCGCCTGCACAGTCCGGGGACGAATCCCGGACGTCGAGGAGGTATGATCGTTGCACCATTCTATCACATCACAAACTAAGTACACTGAGAAGGGTTCCAGGATAGATTTAAGACGGTTTCTATAGAAGATAATGTCTAAAGTCGAATTCTATATATTAAATCGTTAATATTCTACATCATTATAGGCCTTATTTCCGATGTTTAGAGACTTATATTATATGAACAAATATTGTGAACGTTTTTTTCTAAATCGAACATTTACGAGATAGTTAGCCAAATGGAATTTAAGCTCTTGTTTGCCGAGAGAATAAAGTCCAATATTGAGATGCCTATTTTTTCGATAGACATGTGTTTAAACGCCCTTTGTCTTAGTACTCTTTGGATAAATAATTATTTAGGATTACATCATCACGGTGATTGGAAACAGTGGTGTGGGGATTTGTGGAAGGCTTTTGAAAATCATTTAAAATTACTTCCATTAACTACGTTACCATAGACATTCAGCTTGGCGATGTTCCACTATCGATGTCGATTCAGTACAAAAAATCTATTTGAAATATTTTCCTTCACCGAGTCGTCTAAAAATACCATACAATTTATGACGTTAAGTCACAAAATTAAGTCGTTTGTGTGTAGAATTTGAATTTGTAATAGATTTATGTCCAAATACTCAAATGCTACTTAATTATAAATCGCGCTTAATTATAGTTCTGTCACTAGAAATTCTTAGTACGACTTATAATTGAGTAGCCTTTCAGTATTCGGGCGTTAGCTTCAAAATAACAGATTGGCAAAAACCCGAGCTTGAAAAAACATTAAAATACCGCTTGGGTTTATCTAATTCGTAATAAATCGTAGATGCTTGGCAAGACTACATTATTTCTAATTCATAACAATTATTTTTATCATAAAGTTATATATTTTTCTTAAATTACTACTAACTTCACCGCTTAACTAAAATAATGCTGTCTTGCCATCAAAAACAGTATTTTTCCAAATTAGGAGTATGGTAACATCGACACTAATAAATGATTTTTCTCTTTTTTTCATCTGTCAACACTCACATGCGCTGGGGGTAATGGCACTCTGCAATCTGGTAACACTGGTTTTTCATACTAAAATATGACATTTTTCCATATTATGTGACTTTATATGCGTGAATGTAAATGCTTGATTTTTATTTTATTGAATTTATATTCTAATGCTTTGTGCACTATTTTACTTATCTAACTTGATTTTTATTTTATTTTTAATACGGAAACCTTCAAATATAATATTTTGGCATGTTGTTATTTATTTTCTACTTATTCGCATCTTTTCCCTTGTATATAATTCCATTCATACCCTTGCATGGACTTTCTTTCCTCGGAAAATGATTTAAACCCAAAAGGTCGTCTCTCAGTGAGGTCTCCGGATTCAGTACAGCATCAGCCAGGACCTTCATCCATGAGGCTTCGACCCTGGTCCTGGAGACCATAGAAGCTGGTATCAAGAAACACTACTTGGTGCCTCTGACCATTGCCCAGAGGTCCCGATGGAGACGGAAGGGCATCAAGCTTCATATCTACAATGAACATACTTTTATCGCCAAGCATCTTAGTGGGTGAGTTTATTGAGATTTTGTTTATATTCTTCTTTGTTCAAGTGAACAAGTCAGATTGTTAAGCATGGGTTCTTAGATTTACGGAGCCGCGGAAGGCCTAACGATTTTCCGGGGCTGTGGCTCGAAGAGCAAGAGTAAGAACGGGATGGTTTTTAGTCAGTAAGAGTCTGACACTCTCTCTCGCCTTACCCAGGGCGGGAGAAGTCATTGGATGATTTTTGCCCTCAAAAAAAAGGGTTCTTAGTTTTCCAGGGTTGTGGGTAAGGTCGATAAATATCGTAGCATCGGCTCGAAGTACGAATTAGAACGGAGTAGTTTTTTAGCATTATGAGTTGCGAGACTCTCTCCCCCCTTTACAAAAAGTGGGATTCCGTCGGTTTTCATGCTAGAAGTACATTTAGAATGAGATATTAGGAAACTTCTAGTAAGAGCATAAAGTTTACAATTATACAATTATACGCTTGTACCAATTACATTGACCACTTTGGAGAATATAAACAAATGATGTATATGATGTATATGATACCAGGTAGATAAGAAATATATCGCTTAATAATATCTCATTTACGGAATAATAAATCGCTAATAGAAATATTTCCGCCGCCATCTTGTTTATGGCGCCCAAGGCTAACACGGTTTTTGATAGTTGATGTCAATTACTCCAGAGGTTAATTTATCAGTAACATGTGAGTTTGAAACTTCCAGTGGCACAGTGTGCGAGGTCTGCACGAAGACTATAGCGCGGCGGCTCGGCAAGCAAGGCTACGAGTGCCGCGACTGTATGCTCAAGTGCCACAAGCACTGCCACGTCAAAGTTGCCACCAACTGCCCTCGGTCCACCGTGCACAATATGGAGCTGTAAGTTCATATTTTGAATTATTATATGCTATACAAAAAATAAAACTACAATAATCAATCTAATGCTAATGGTTTTTGAAAGGCTCGTCGATTGAAAATACAATCTACAAATAACTGAACTTGTTCTAACTATTTACTTAGTCTGTTGGCCCTGTGTCCTTCGTGGATGTCGGCCTATGAGGTTATGCCATTCTCTCGTGGCTTTGTAGTTTCTCGCTAATATTAGCGAAACTCCCTCCAATAGTATTGCGAGTTAAATTTGTTACAAGAACGAGCCTTTCAAAAATTAGTAGAGTTAGATAAATATTTAGATCAACTAACTGTAACATTCAATAAAATCACCACGTACCATATTCTCTCGCGCTGCATATAAAATAATGTCATAGCTGGCGCTGAATTTCAAATTCAACACTCATTTTTAATAAATACAAAATAAAATCTACCATTTTAGAAGAAATTTCATTACCAGGCAACACTAAAATTAAAAAGGCGCCATTTTGAATTGATCTTTGTTTTCTGTATCACGGTAAGTGTTTAGCTTGTAATTCAAAGTTTATTACATATCTATTACATTATTTATTTTAATAACAAAGATAGAACATTTTACACATTATATTTAGGACATTTTAGTCATTTTAAATATCTATTAACACTTTTATTGACTTAATACAGTGTAGGTGTAGCTAATTTGAGAATTTAGTAGAAAAATAAAGTTTACCAAGATTCTATAACAATTTTTTTTTATTGAAGCAAGAAATATATATTTTTTCATTTTATTATAAATTGCTGACAATACTACAAATAGAACTAAGTTATGGCAAACAATTTTATATAAAGACGGCCCATAGTCCACAAAATCATACAAAATTCTACTAAAATTCTCAGACTGGCAACACTTACGTTTAAACGTCAGTTCATATTCAGTATCTCGTATTGAAATATTTTAACACACTTTAATGTTTTGTATAGTCCTCCAGTACTGTTTGAGGACCAGTAGAGGTTAAAGGTGTGTAAACAAGTAAAAGAGTCGATACGCTTGATAATTTAAACACAGCGCATTCATCCTTGCTAGAGAAAAGACTAACATTATTTTTACGTTGCTTGGATGAAATCACTCGCGCCAGTGTCATATAACTTTCATTAAACTAAAATTCAATTCAGAACACAATTTTAGATAATTACTACAAAATTATCACTTTCTCTTTTTACAAGAAGAAACCAAAAGTATAAAAACACAATATCACTTTAATTGATTATAAAATAACGTGCCTAGATGATATATTGTACTATTATCACTATTAACTGGCTGTACTTTTTTTCAATAACGGGGGGAAACCTTCAAAAGGCGCCTAGCTTTTTGGGTATAAAAGTCTAGGGAGTGTGGCATTCCACTGTGTGGTACCTCACTAAAACCAGCCCGGACCTGAATGGAGGCACCGGGTCCTCTAAAAGAGACCTGCCCCAGAGCCTCCACTAGGTCAAGAACATCACAAGCTAGCAATAGCGGATTTTTCAAATATTATAACACATAGGTCGCTATTCTCATGACATCTGTAGTTACACTAGATACATGTAATTTTAACATTATATTATTATTCAGGTGTATTTTATTCAGAACATAAGCTTATACTATTGCCTTTTCTAAAGTAATGGCATTCGAATTTCCATTTTGGCAATTCTTTAACACATTTTGATATACCCAATTTACCTTTATTTCACTGAACTAAAGTTGGTATTTAAAAGAAATATGCTAAAAACTGTTAACAGAGCGTTGGATTGTTAAAATGTGTTAATTTTTTTCAAATGTAACTTTAGTATATTTTTACATTCATCACAGACAAACAAAAACCTATTTTAAAAAATCTAAAATACGTGATAGATGTAAAAATATACATTTAACAAAACACACGCAATTATCTATTTAGAGATATTTTACATTTTAAAGCCGACCAACAATTATTTATTTTTAAATTCATATTTTTTATATTTTTGGCTTCCGTGTTCTAAATTCAAAATCAAGTCTGAGTAAATAAAAATAAATATTGGTTGGTTCATTTACCTGATGGAAGCCATGCGCTTGTTTTTTGTATGAACCATTCAAACAATAATTGTTGTATCAAATTCATACAAATCCCATAATGTATGGCTTTCATACACCATCTATGCTGTATTGCTTATATGTATTTTTATTTTTAACGCTGCCCCAGGTCCCATTCCCATAGCTTTGGAAATGGAAGGTACTCGTTTAGTTTTCTATCATTTTTTAAATATATTCTCATAGCCCTCACTAGCAGATGATGAGGTCGGGTTTTTGAAGGATTCATAACTTAAAAATGGAATTAATTAAAAAGGAAAACATTCTTTACTAATATTAAAAAATGGTACAATCTTTTATAGATCTTTTTAGTATAATTTCAAAAACCCGAACCTACGTTTTGTTTTTTTGAGGCTGGCAACAACACGCGTCGTTTTTTATCAAATCACAAGATTTCATCAAGAAATATTCCTTTAACAGAGTTATATCTGAGAAATAATTAAAAATAGGCTCCAAAATCATATTAGTAAGTTTACGACTTTTCGAAAGCACTATTCGACAAAATTTCATATATTTTCATGAAGAGATCACAATAGTTTTGCTTCGCTTATAAAAATGTATGTATTCACTATCATAAATTCATAATAATATGAAAGTCATGATAGTTTTATCTTCTATATTAGTAGATATTTTAAAACTATTCACTCGTTGCAATAAAAAAAGGAATTTATATATGTACTTGAAATTATATGTTTACTTTTTATCTACATTTTTTCTGAGTATAAAAAATACAATTTTGAAATATTTTTAAGCTTATAAAATTAATATTGTCGTTTAAGGTTGGCAATACCTAGTGGGAAAGTATGGTAATTTTTTTATTATTTTTGGGTCTAAAGTAGACAACGGTATAAAAAAAATCCTAGAATATAAAAATAATTGAATAACAATTATACAGAGGCAGGTATATTATAATATTTTTTGAATACTTTAATAAGTCGGGGAGACTTGAGGGAACTCCTAAATAACTGTGTACTGCATTTGATACTAACCTAGACTTACTGTATGATTTTACTATGTTTTCAAAAGTCAACAGAAGGGTAAACGACCGCGGGATGCGCAATATTTTCCGTAACCTACTACTGACTATATCTAGTAATATGGCAGCATGTGAAGCCTTAATTAATGAAAATGTTAACAACGTCGATGTATCATCAACTCGTGAGTTTTTTCTTTGATTCCATGTATATTTTCCATCAAAACATAGCTGGACTTATAAACAAATCGGATTTACTAATTGTTTACATTCGGGAATTGTTGAATCAGCAAAAAACTGTAGATGTAATATGCATAACCGAACATTTCATAATGTCAGGTCAAGAACATTTACTACATATACCAAATTATAAACTGGCGGCGTGTTATGCTAGACAGAATAGAAAACGTGGTGGTTCTTGTATCCTAGTGAAAGCTGGACATGAGTATAAAGAGCGATCTGACATAAGGAAATGTTCAATATCGGGAATTGTGGAATGCTGTGCCATAGAAATTCCTGTACAAAAACTTATTGTCATATGTGTATATAGACCTCCCAAATTGTGTAATCTAAGTAAGTTTTACGAAAATTTAGATTTGATATTAAAAAAGTGTGTATTAAACAATCGCAAAAAGTAATCTTATGTGGAGACTTTAATATAGATATCTTGAACAGGAATAGAATTACATTAGAATTTGAATGCTTTCTCAGGAGCTTCAACCTCAAATTAGAAATTAAACAGCCAACTCGATTCACCAGTAACACTTGTTTAGATAATTTTGCACATAACTTTAAACAAAATTGCCAACATGAAGTTAGAGACTTTGGATTATCTGACCACACAGCTCAAATGTTAAAAATAAAAGTAAAAAAAACCAGTCAAATTAAAACATGGAAATCGTTTAGACGAGATATAACCCAAGAAAATCTTATTAAATTTCGAACACACCTCAAAAGCTTGACATTCTTTGATGTATATAATACAGAAGATGCCAACGAAGCCTATAATAACTTTTTAGATATATTCGTACTATTGCACAATCTTTGTTTCCCTACGAAATTAATAACCATTAAATCTGAAAAAAAATTAAAATGGGTTTCCCGTGGGATACGATTGTGCAGTAAAAAGCAACGGCAACTACTATGGCAACAGCGACTTAAACCAACCTATGAAAATAAAACGAAATTCAATGATTACTCAAAGAGATTTAAGAAAATAATCAAACTCACCCAAAAGGCCCAGAATAACCACCTAATAAATAACTCAAAAAACAAATGTAAAACCGCTTGGCAAATTATCAATAATAACAAAACCGTAAAGGAGCCAATTTCTCAAATAACAAAAGGTGACAAAATAATATCGAACCCATTCCTAATAGCCGAATCATTTAACAACTTCTTCATCAATCAGACTTCAAATAAACTAACTAAAACTATGCAATGCGACTTGCTTAACTTAGAAAAAAATCCACATTCGATATTTATGGCCCCAGTGGTTCCTCAAGATATTATTCGCATAATAAAGAACCTGAAAAATAAGAAGTGCTTTGGCTTTGATGGCATTTCAACAACAGTCATAAAATTTGTTTCTGGTTGTATAGCCGCGCCCCTTGCTCATATTATAAATGTAAGCATATTTTCCGGTGTGTTTCCAGAAAATCTTAAAACCGTAATAGTCATTCCAGTATATAAAAAGAATGATAAAGATGAAATGGTAAACTATAGACCTATAGCCCGTATTTCCATATTTTCAAAGATAATAGAAAAAGTCATGTACGAATCTCTCTACAATTTCCTAACAAAACATCATATACTCTGTAGCGAGCAAAAGGGTTTTCGGAAAAATAAAAACATCAACATGGCCATTTTTGATTTTCTGTATGAAGTAATGCCGAAAGTTGACTCTAAAATACCAGTATGTGCAATATATGCTGATATGTCGAAGGCTTTTGACTGTGTGGACCACGATATACTGCTAGCCAAGCTTGATGCATATGGTATCCGTGGCAATGCCCTTAATCTAATAAAAACATACCTTAAAGGTCGGAGACAATGTACGGAGATATCTAGCCTGTGCCTAAAATCCAAAAGGGAAATCAAATCTTTATCCTCTTTCAAACAAATAAAATATGGCGTTCCACAAGGAAGCGTCCTCGGACCTTTACTATTCCTACTATATATTAATGACCTGCCACGTAATATATCTAACCCTATGGTCTTATTTGCAGACGATAGCACCTCAATTGTTTCATGTACCAATAAAGACTTATATGTTGCAGATATCAATAATTCAATCAATAGTTTAATAAAGTGGCTTGACAACAATAACTTAGTAATTAATTTAGACAAAACTAAAATCATGCATTTTCACCAACGGACACCTACAGTAGACATTGATATCAATTATAATGGCCAAATAATAGAAAAAGTAAAAAGTGCAAAATTCCTAGGAATTTTAATTGATAGCCAGTTAACTTGGAAACCACAAGCAGAAGATATATGTAAACGATTAAGTACAGCCGCGTTTATGTTACACAACCTAACAAAAAAAGTCGATCTGCCAACAGTGCTATTAGCCTATCATGGTCTTGTAGTATCCATTCTAAGATTTGGGGTAGTATTTTGGGGAAATTGTAGTGAACGGGAAAGCATTTTTAAAGCCCAGAAACGATGTTTGAGAGCAATGTTTAGCCTTAAAGTAACTGACAGCTGCGTACCTATATTTAAGTCTCAGAAATTATTAACTTTTCCATGCCTCTATATCCTAGAACTAGCAATGTATGTAATAACAAACCGATGTTTATTTACACCAGTATCTGCAACCAGAAAGCGTAGTACAGCTTTAAGATCGCAATATCAGAACCTATTATCCACAGGTGTATTCAAAACTAGCCTACTAAAAAAAAGTGTAATCTGTATGGCCCCTATTATTTACAACAAAATTCCTGACCAAATTAAAAACTTACCTGTTCTGAAATTTAAAAAATGTTTTACAGAATTACTTGTCAATAAATGTTATTACTCTGTGCAGGATTTCCTTAATGATACACCATAAATTATAAATTATTATTATTATTTTTTTTCAACCTAATTGTAAGAAATATATTTGCATGCCAACAAGGCCGAATGTATAAGGTTCCGTGACAACATATTGTACCATCTTATTCTTATGTACCTACATTCTAGCAAATAAAGATATATTATTATTATTATTATTATTATGTTACGAAAGAAATTAGTACTCATTTTGTTTCATTTTAAATGCGTTAATTTGGAGCATAAAACATGTAGATTAAAAGTAAACATTCATTATATCTATTTACTGTTATGTATGTATTATCCAATTATGTATTAACATAAAAATGTAATGTTTTTCTAGATCCATGCTCCCAGTGTTAAGTGAATAGTCAAGTAAAGCAAGAAGACTGCAAGAAAAAAAAATATTAAAAAAAATACAAAAAAAAATGATAACAAGCAATTCTCACTCAGGTTCTTTAAAAATATTAAAGTTTGTAGTCGTCAATATTTATTTTGCGTTTTCGTGTGATTTTTTATGCATGGCATTTACCTATTTTTCATTTGCCTTTTTACTTTTTTAGGAAAAAATTTAAGGTTTTTTTCTCGACTTAAGAATGTTACTGGCTTTTCTGCATGATTTTTTTTATATAAAACTTGTTTTTTTTTTACTAACGAACTGCGATAGATTTTTTATCTAATTTTCGCTGAAGGAAAATTTTTTCGAACACCTTTTTAGAATATAGATTAGATTTATGTTTTTTTCATATAAGCGTCCTGCTGTTTATGTTGTTTTATTTTGTAGTGATGGGAAAATACTGTCTAATTAAGAAGATACTTTACAGTCATTCGTTACTACACTATTTTGTACAAAAAAATAAGAATCGCCTGCGAAAAATTTAAATATAGCTTTTTCTGTATTTTCCCATCATGTTTTTTATATGTCGTCTGCATGCCTTAATGTGTCTATGTAGTATATGTAGGTATATGTTGTTATATGTTGTTACAACTGTAAATTTGTTTACAGATGAGGTGTTACTTTGGCTGAAGTGCGCAGGATATAAATATACAAAACAGTAGGTATATATATGCGTTTTGTATTCCATTCAAATACTAAAAATAAAAAAAAATATCACAAAAAAAAAACTATAAACCCGCACACATCAGCTAAATTAACATTTCAAAATACAAAAAAAAACGACTTCAATTTTTTTATATATTTTTTTCTGTTTTTTCCAGGACTTACATCGCATCTCCGTACGCAGATAAAAATATAAGGATGTTGTGATTTTTCATGAGAGTAACATAGCTTGCGAAGTGCACAAAGCATCGATTTCAATAAATACTTAAATTATTAAAACATAAGTACAACACGTATATACCCAGCTGACATATACGATATAGGCTTTTTTACATATATTTATATGAAAAAATGAAGTTTAAAATTAGTGTTTAAGTGGAAAGTAGGACTTTTGAGCGTCGCTGACTTTTTGAAAATCTTGAAAAATGTACCCGCTTGTCACTGTTGGATGAAGTTTTATTCAGATGATATATTATAATGCTCTTGTATGAACTATGACGTAAGATATATTGACAGCTGTAACACACACTCGTCTGTTACGCCGCTACCGTCTGAGTAAATCAAATTCCTGGCGCTAATTGTTAGAATTAGTTTAGGTATCGCTAGAGCCCACCATCAAAGCCAATTTCGAAAAATATTAGATTTCATTACCACATAATTCTTTGATAAACAATTAAAGTTAAATGTCAGCCAAAATTTTAAGAATTTTTACACAAAATTTTCTACCTCATTTCTTCAAAGTTACAATATTAAATCAATTTTATAGTTACCATTATTTCTTTATATTATTATTATTATTATTTTTGTTGTTGACAACACTAAATGTTTTATTGTAAAAAAAATGAAATTGTATAACTCGAAATATTTATTTTTTAAGTTTTAATACTTAAATGTGCTTTTTCGCACAAAATTGTGATCTGTACTCGTCGAATGTGCAATAAGTCTAATATTTAATAATATACACGCGCTTTGAGCTTTCAAATTTATACCTTACTATCTTAGGAATTAATATTTGGCCATAACTAGACAGTGACCACCTTGTAGACTTTTCAAATTGTAACTGAGGATTGAAATATATCAAGACCAACATTTTGTACAACAATAAAAAGACGAATGTCAGAAAATCGACTAAACTGAAATGTCAGAATCGAATAATCGATACTGCAATTTTATACTGTCCCATTAATTTTATTTAGATCCATAATTAATGTAATTTGAACAGTCCTCAGTATAATATAGAATTTTACTTGTATGTAAGTATGTGTATTGTTGATTTTTTGTTCATTAGAGTGACTGACTGTAAAAGTATCTTGCTACAAATATTTTGTGCCTTAGTTTCCCTCCTACCCGTATAAGGCATAAAATAAGTCTTAAGGCCTAGAAATTATGGTACTAAATACAGACTGCGTTAATCTCAAATAGCTAGAGATTTTAGTCGATTATATTGCCAGGATGTGCCTAATTTTTTGAAAAATCGACTAATTGTAATCGAATAATTTGTTTTTTATTTTAAACTAGTCGAATAGTGTTGTCTGTCCAGTACATAATATTTGTAGCACAAGTTGTTTTTTTTTAAGTTACAAAATAAAGGTTCTTAATAATTAAAACATGACAATCTGTACGTGTATCTTGTATACTAAGTGTTAACACATAAAGTTTTATGTGGATCCGTATAAAAATATACCATAATATAAAATATAATATATTATTATTATTATTTATAAATGTTGCGCTATGTGTTCTGTCATTTTATTTTCCTCTTTTTTAATAAAATGCCTTTTTTTCAATGTATTGTTTTATTTACTAGTCTGTGAATTTTGTAAAACCACAAAATCAGCCTGCGATCTAACACCCCGTTCCTACTCATGCACTTCCAGCCGGAGTCCCGGCAACCCGTTAGGTTCTCCGCGGCTCCGTATCGGCATCAGTCCTATTGGGATCCGTCTGTGATGGTCTGATGACTCCTTAAATCAGCCTGGGATATGGGATGAATATTAAACTCGCTTCTCACTCGACCATTGTAATTACTTACTTCTCAGTTGTACACTTCTGAAGAAACGGTCGTGGCCATAGTTTACAAAGTATGTTGGTTGCAGTAGGGTGACAGTGGCAGCTATTGGAAAAATGTTCCGTTTCGCATAATTAAAAATTATAATTATTAAGAAAGAAAGCAAAAATAATAAGGATTGCAATAAGACACAACATCACGCCTATTATCCCCGAACGGGTAGCCCAATAAGCCACTGTACAACATAACACCCACTTTTCACTATTTATGAGTACCGGGCACAATTCCAGAATCCGTGCTACTACTGAGAATTAAAAACCCTGGGTGCTTACTCTTGAATCCAATTCCGATCGATCGACATTGGTATTGTGAAATTTCGTACTCTTGAGTTGCAACACTAGCGCCCATAGCGTCCGTATTGCGTGGATATTGAATGAACTAAATGGTATTGAGTTTGGCTTTATTTTCCGTACTCTAAATACTATTTTAATAGCTACGATAGGGGTTGTATAGTTTTGACATTGAATAATTATTGAGATTTTATTGGATTGAAATTGCATTAGCATTGAGATTGGTTTCAAGAGTAAGCACCCAGTAATACTTTGCCCGACCCGGGAATCGAACTCGAGACCCCTTGCCCGGCCACTCGAGCAACGAGGCAGGCAGTTGTAAACGGTATAATAAAATTATTATTTAAACTGTCAAACACCAAGCGGTCACCGGTGACCACCGGTACTCAACGAGTTAAATATGATTTTAGTAGAGTAGTCATTACTTTGAAATATTAACAAAACGTGAATCACGCATAGTTTTCATTACGTCATACTTCTCTCGGGTTAAAAGTCAACAAATGGGTTAAAAGTGGATAGGCATGTAACAACAGTTACTTGGAGTTTTCTTGCTTATTGAAATTTCTATGAAAATGTAGCATAAAGTAACAGCAGGCATGGGTACCTACAGGCCCCCCGAAAGCGGGCGTGTAAAGCGTGCACAGCACACGAGCGCACGATGGCATTCAGGGGGCGACAAATCGAATGATCTACTACGTACGCAATGTTCAAAATTGTTGTCCAGCGTAAACAGATAGTGTAAGAAAAAAGAAAATTCCAACGGTGCGGCGAGCAATCTTAGCGTTATCCTCATCTATAGGCTTCCGTTGAGAATAAGATGCAATATCAAAGTCACCGCTTATTTTCATCCGATTTAAAAAAATGTGAGGAGGTTCGCAATTCAACTGTGGAAATTGTTTTTTTTTATGTTTGTTAGGTACTCGATTTCTCGAAGACCGATTTCAAAAATTCTTTTATAGGGTAGGCTTGTCACTTGGTCTAATTGTCATCAGGTCAAGATCTGATGATGAGATCTGGCGACGAGTGCTTATTAATTTTTGCATTAAAACCGTAATCTGATAGAGGTATTTTCTTAAAGGGGGGAAAAAATCATCGAATGATTTCTTCCGCCTAGGTGAGGCGGGAGGGAGTGTCAGACTCATACAGACTAAAAACACCCCGTCCTACTCCTGCACTTCGAGCCGGAGCCCCGGTAACCCGTTAGATTCTCCGCGGCTCCTCTGTGGTGGTCTGATGGCGCTTTGAGGCACGCGCGGAACGCGACGCGCCGTACGCTCGGGAATCTGATAAAGGTCTGGAGTCGATGAAGCCGAGAGCCAGTCGAAGAAACTCATTGAGGATTTACACCCCCGTGTTTGGGCTTGAATTATTTGTTTTAATGAGAACTTTACACTTCGATGGTGTGTAATTGTCAATAAGGGTCTGATGATGAAGTAGTACAAGAGTTTAGGGAACTCCTCAACAGTTACCAGTAGCTACCTCGTATTTGGGTTTGATTATTTGGTCCCATTGTCATCAGGGCCTCTAGCCAAATGCAACTTTAGCGCTTGTCTACAGAGAGAGTAGATATCAAAATGTATGGGGATGACACTGACAAGTGTCAAATTTTACGTCAATTCCATATAATTTAGTTTTCTACTCTACATGTAGACAAGCGCTAAATGGCATTTGGCTACAACTGCTGGACAGGACAAAAATGGAGCACAATCATATTACAGAAGAGGTTTTATTGTATATTGTCTGCGTTGTTATACGTTCGTTGCTTTTTTACTTATGGTATGAAACTTGGTATGGACATGTGCAGCCTGGATACTTTAACAATTATTCTAACCGTCAAAGTCGCGAGATTCATCCACTGCGTTAATCATATAGGGTTTATGCAACATGGAATTCTCATCACTTATTCTGTTGATGTAAAACTCGATTAGCCTGATTTTAGGAAATATGCGAAAGGCGAGTCCATCCGCAAATTCGCCATCTAAAGGCACATACTGCCCCTCGCGTAATAACTGCAGCTGAGCCGCCGTCAGTTCACCTACCTGTAGATTGTTTAATATATCGATAAAATCGGCATCATTTCGCTGCCACATAGTAGCAAATTCACAAAATTAAAACTGATGCCATAAATTAACTTCCGCTAACAACCACAACGGCTGCATAAAACACCAGTGTCCTTTTACAGGAGGAGTTTGAATAATGACTCCGAAAACTAGAATATGCACGCCGCCGTATAACTTTTGATTATTTTTAAATTATTGTAATCTAACGTGTATCATTCTCAGATGCTCATAAGTAGGACATTATAGAAATTTCGTAGCGCCATTTACGCCTTTCGTTCTCGAGCCTTTGCAAAGTTGAGTTGGGTGAGGCGGAAGGGAGTGTCAGACTCTTACTGACTAAAAACCACCCCGTTCCTTCTCCTGCACGTCGAGCCGGAGCCCCGGTTACCCGTTAGGTTCTCCGCGACTCGATATAGCGTCTTGTACTACCTCACCAGCACCGTGCGGTTCGCATTTACTCGCATATTTAACGACGTAATAGACCACAGCACTGCAACTACCACACGGTTGTATGTCAATATTCTCCTTCCATATACCTAAAAAGACTGCATTGTAATTATTAATGATACTTTCATTAGACGTTATCTTCAACAAACAAAAACGACCATTGTTAACTGTGCTTCATCTGGACCTAGACTTCCCCTATACTTATTATACTCTTTGACCTAGACAAATTGTATTATCACTTGCTGGTTTTGGAAAACCAACCATTGTCTTGGCGATTTTTTTGCATGTCTGTGTGTGTTTATAGATTTGGTAATCCTCAACTACTTTTCTCAACCCGGTACA